CCCCAAAACCCCAAAACCCCAAAACCCCAAAACCCCAAAACCCCTTGGGATAAGCGATAAGTTGAATTAAATGATATAATCTTTATGTTTGTACCCCATACCTTATCTCAGTCTTTTCTCAGTCTCTGGCATTGTAGTGGCCTCTTTGTTGTCTAGGTATTGATCAGCATAGGTCGCAAGTAGTTCAAAGAACACATAATTATCTTTTTTGTTGAGATCGTTATAATGGACCTTGAGATCTTTCTTCCTGATTTTCTTTGGTTTTCTGCCCACCAAAACCTTAGCCTTCTTGATTGAGGAAGATCTTTCCATGCCTGTAGTGTAAATGATTAGGTTTATTTTGAAAATTTTGAATGAATAATCAAATTGGTAAAAATTAATATAAATATGTAGCCAAACAAGATTATTCAATTCTTTACTTACTTTGAAATTTCTTCTCTGTACCAGATTTGAATAAGTCTTTTGAAGGATCTTTCTTAGATCGATTTTTATTTTTAACTTGAGAATTCATTCAGCTTCCATCATCTCCTTCTGTGAGACAAGAGCTGTTCTCAGAAGACAAATCAATTTCTTTGAGATTTTGATGACCAATTTTGACAAATCCCTTACTGTTTTTAAAACCGTGCATAATAGTCTTCCATCTCTAGTTTCTTTTTGACAACTTTAGATTTCGTTTTGCTTAATTTTTCGAAAAATTTCCTAGCATTCTGTTCTCTATTACGCCCTTTGATCTTTCGAGCCTTGTGAGGAGAGATGGTCGAGGAGTCTTTTGATAAAGATTCACAATCTCTAGCATTATTTGTAGCTATAATTTCATCATGGCAGTCAATGACGCAATTATTCTTATTTGTATACACAAGGTTGTAATTGAATTCATCGTCACTCAGAGATTCTCTGCTCTCCTCTTCACGATGAATCCCAGAAGGTTCGTCTAAGCTCATTTCTTCACTAACCATAATGACTGTATCCTCTGAGATATCACTTGTTTCAGATAACTTTTCCTGCTTCTTCCAGTTTACAAGTTGGTTGAATCAGTAAAATAAAATCTATAAGAACTATTAGGCGATAAGTCTCAACAACCAAGGAGAGGTATAACCTACACTAGATCCAATGACAATGAGTGCCTTGTGTTTGAATGGGATGGATTCCATTATTTTATATTAGCAATAAGTTATAATGTTGAAGGGGTTTTGGGGTTTTGGGGTTTTGGGGTTTTGGGG